GAGTACTGTATTCTCGGGTGGCGCGGACCCGTTCTTGTTTTAGAGGATCCGAGGGTAGGTTGGTATATGTAGGTCGGGGACCTACATATGTCGTGTGGTCTGGAATCCCCAGCTGGGTTATAATCGGTTCGAATCGTCGTTGCTCCTCGGTTATGGAGACTCACTTCTCTGTTCATCATCGTAGTTTAATAACTGAAATTTGAGAAGGTGTTGGATATGAAGTTTCATGATCTCATTACGAATCGTGTCATCTTTGTATATGATCTTATGAAGTTTTAACTGTCGAAATAATGAATTTTGTTAAAAAGCTTTTACGCAAAAGAACTTTGATTATTGCTAAAGCCCTACCTTGAATCCCTGAGCCTACATTCCTGAGTCTTCTCAATTTTATTTCGGTTAAGTCTTGTTGAGTACTTTTGTACTCGTGGTTCGCTTGACCCTTGTTGCGGTGTGAGGCTCATGAGCGGATCTCTGTTTTGGATCGTCTTTGCATGACCGTTGTTCATCGATGACGATAATTAAATGTGTGGCCCTTAGGCGAGCAGCTTATGTTATGTGTTTTGTAATATATTATAATGCCACTCCACTACTTTGGTTTGTTTTATTATCGAACTTAGTTGTATGGTTTGAAACAAATGGTTTGTAAACTATGTTATTGTAAGTCTTCCGCTACTTTTTACTCGATGTATCTATTTGAATAAACTGTTGTAATATCGCAATGACTCAGTAATGTGATCCTCGCTTTCGAAATCGTGGATGATTCGGGGTCCCCGAGGACACCCGACAGTCTTCTTAAGTTACCGGAACATATGCATAGATGTTAAAGGTCGTTGGACGATGGATGTGCATGTGGGCCCTATAATTTAGGAGGTTCTACACACAATGGAGTGTAGAGTGGGGTGGCGTGCGTGGCCGGACAAACCTTGAAGGCGAGCACGGCGGTCGGAGCGGGCATCACCTGCCACGGTGAGCGGCTTCCACGCCACAGCGGGCAAGGCAGGCAGGCGGGAGCCACTGGCGCCTTGCACTGGCGGAAGCGCGGTCTCTGAGTCTTGGGCTGGCCGGGCTGGCTCTGCGAGCTGGGCCGAAAGGGAGGCGGCGGCCCGCTAAGGAAAATAAAATTGATTTTCTTTTTATTTCTTAAATAAACAGAACTAAAATTCCATTTTGAGCCATTTTAGAAGCATTTTCACAAGCTGGTGTAAAAATGAAAGTTGTTCAGAAAAAGTACTCTACAACTTTGCCAAAAAGAGTAAGGCCAAAATCCAATTAGATTTTGAACTATAGATTTAAAGTTAATTTAAATCAAAAACCCGATTTTAGAAGATTATTTTTAAAAGCAAAATTTGAGAAAACTTTGAATATACACCTTGCTCCAAATTGCATCTTAGTTACTTCTAATTGGTCTAAGTGATCAACCAAGGTACACACATGGCAAAACAAACATAGCATCCAATCTATTAAAACAAAACTATGCAACATACATGTTTCATTAGTATGTTTTAATTCTATATTTCATGTCATGCTTATGAATGCATAATAAGGATTATGCTCATAATTTGCAAAATGTTAATGCATGCTTAACACCGAGGTGTTACAGCCCTCCCCCCTTATAAGAATCTCGTCCTGAGATTTTGAGTTACGAACCATTTGTTATAAAAATCCTTATAAGCGTTTTGCAGATATTCTCCTGTTTCCCACGTCGCATCACCATCATCGTGATGACTCCACTGTGTCTTATAGGTTCTCACCACTTTATTCCGAGTGACTCGGTCCTTAGTGTCCAAAACTCGAACCGGTTGCTCATGGTATTCCAAGTCTGATTTGAGCGGAATGCTCTGAGGTTCTATTCTCTCTTTCGGAACACGCAAGCACTACTTCAACTGTGATACATGGAAGACTGGGAAGATCGAACCCAGCGCTTCTAGTAACTGTAACTTATAAGCCACGGGACCCTTCTTCTCTATGATCTGGTATGGTCCTACAAATCTAGGAGCAAGTTTTCTCTTTACTCCAAACCGTTGTACTTTCTTCATTGGAGTAACCTTTAGATAAACGTAGTCACCAACTTAAAATTCTAGCGGTCTCCTTCTCTTATCACCAACTATATGTATTTAAGCATTGTCTATTGATATTACCCTTATTTGTGGCTATATGTGAGATTTGACTTCCTGGGCTCACATATAGTGTGTATCTGGTTTTGTCTTTAAAACCGGGTGCGACATCAGTAGTGGTAGTAGTCATGAGTGGCTTTGATTTATGATGAACCCAACTCATGTCTTCGATAAAATTTATTGAATTTGTAAGAACCATGTAGCGAGGAGTTCATCTGAACAAGTGTCGCCTCGATCTAATGCGCAATGGAGGAGGCATAGCTGTTGCATTTTTTTACTACACACGCTAGAAAGTCCACCGCTGTCCATTTGATCTCTCGTTGGATAATAAAAAGTGTGCGCAACAGGGCGAACAGACGTAGGTGGGCAGCAGGGCGCGGGCAAGCAACAACACGGCGAGCAGGGCGCGGCGAGCAGAAGGGCAGGCATGCATGCTCCGATGCGCGTCCGTGGGGGACGGGGGACCAGAGGGAGTGCGTGGGAGATAGCCACCTAACGTGGCGCTAGTAAGCCCCTTGTTATGAGCATAGCTTATGTAGAGATCAACATTAAAAAATACCTTTTCTAAGAAAAATATATGTATATGGTAGATGAAGGCATAGACGCAAAGATGTGGGCGATCGCAACGGAAAAATATAAACACGATTATTTTAGATGTGGGCCATTGCTACTTAAATCCTAAGAATTCTTTTGATATTTTAAAATTTTAGAGTTTGCGGTAGAGGCGGCTAAGTCATACCCACTAATTGCAATTCAACAAAACTAAACAATCTTGGTAGTGAGATTAATATTTATATTGATAATGTAGGAGCTTATATAATATCATCCGGTATTATACTATTATAGTTTTGCTTATTGATATTATTCATAGTATCATATCAGGCAAAATTAGTTATAGAACACTTCGTATCCACTAGCAACGCAACTTTACTTTTAGTGTCCTGTAGCCAATTTTACCATTATATTATATTATTTTTTGGAAGGCAACCATTATATTACATTGTGTGTTTGTACTGAACCTCAATGGTATTTTATCATGGCTTTGCCCCTACTGCCCTGTCCACCTCGCGTCGCATGGCCAAACACCTGCGCGTTGCATTGGGAAGAAAGGGGTAAGGAAGGAGATGACATGTGGGCCCATGCATCTCTGCACATGGAGAGAATGATAGAGGGGTAGTTTAGGCGATACTAGAATAGAGTGACCTACATATGGGCCCTATAGCATTTCATGCTTCAACGGAACTATAATGGCATGGTTTGAAATAGATGAATTGTAGTGGCGTATCTTGATCCATGAAAATTGTAATGACACCAATCCAACTAACCCTTCAATCTAAAAATCACAAAAATAAACATAACATGCATGTGCATGTATGAGAAGAAAGTAGAAGAGTGAATAAAAAAGGACTTAGCAGATGGAAAGACAACATTTCTCATTTGGAGTTAGACAGGTGGTGATTAATTCAGTGTTCTCAAGCCTTCTGATATTTATGCTTTCTTTCTTTGAGATCCCGTGATTTTAAAAAAAGTAGAGTATTATAGATCAATATTTTTTTGGCAAAATAACAATAACAAAAAGAAATATAGCTCACTTCACTCGCCTCTGTTATGTCTACACAAAGAACAAGGGGGTTTAGGCATTATGAATCTTGATTTATAAAATAAGTGTCTGTCAAGTGGTTTTTTACATTAATGAATAGGAAATTTGGCAAAAATTATTGAGAAACAATATATAAAAGATAATACATGATAACAAGTTGAGAAAAGACGAGGAAACTCTCATTTTTGGATGGGCCTCATGGGTGTAAAAGAAACTTTCCTGAGTTTGGGTGCCTTCATGTTTCATGATGGTAACCAGATCAGGTTCTCCAAAGATACCTGGTCAGGAGACAACCCCTGAAAACAAGAAAGGTTGTAGATGTATTAAGCATGATTCTAGTTAATCTTGAGTTTAGAAGGAATTTAGTGGGAAACAAGCCACTAGAATGGAATCACAGAGTAGCGCGAGAGTGGCCAATATTAATATGCAATATGGTAATGATGGTTTTGTGTGGAGGCTACATAAAACAGATTCTTTCATAGTTAACTCAATGTATAGTTACCTAATCAATAATGGTTTAAAAGTTTCACAAGTAGTTTGGCGGCTTAAGATTCTTTCAAAGATTAAAATCTTTCTTTGGTTCTTTAAAAGATGGGTTATTTTCACCAAGGATAAGTTAGCAAATTAAAGAGAAATTGGAATGGAGACATGTTATGTTGTTGTTTGGAAAACCTGAAACCATTTAACACATTTTCTTTCGATGTTCACACACCATTTTTTATGGAGAGCAATCCATATGATGTTTGGATTTAATCCACCTTAAAACACCAACACTTATCTAGAGAAAAGTTTTCAATCCCTTTTACTGCTGGTGCGGCGGCCATTTTGTGGTCAATATGGATAATAGGGAACAAAGTTATTTTTGACAATTGTCAACTCAAATCTCTTTTGTAGGTTCAATTCAAGGGATCCACTAGCTTCGATTGTGACCCAACTGCAACGGTGTGAGGTTCAACCATCGCTCATGGTAGGGGCCTGTTAGACATGTTGAGATGTAGTTCCTAGTCTCGGTTTTGACTAAGTTAGTTAGCGTCCACGAGGTGGCCACGACGTCTCCCACGGACCATGTCCATGCGTTCCTAGCGCACACGGCTGCACAACATGTATATATACTTGACAGAGATGTAATACAAAGGTTGTTGGCCCAATTCCATCTCTCTACATGGTATCAGCTTAGCGCAGCCCGATCCCTTCCTCGCTTCCCCAACTGTCGCTCGCCGCTCGTCGCAGATCGGTGATCTCGCTCTGCCGCTCATCCTCTCTCTGCTGCTTCTCATCCTAGCGCCATGGACATGGAGGCCAACCCTCTCTTCGGTGTCGACCTCTCCGATGCTGGTTCCTCCTTGTCTTCCTCCGTCGACAATGACCCACCCACCGTCACCGCGCCACAGGCTGCCATTCTCCAAACGGTGAACATCAAGGAGCACGTCCCCGTTGAACTCAACCTCGCTGAGTCGAACTACACCGAGTGGTGCTGCTTCTTCGACGCCTTCATCGGCAAGTTCGGCATCGACTCACATCTTTCTTCCCCGCCAACCGTTGAGGCCCACCGTGATCCGTGGTGGGAATGATTGATCAGTGCATCCTTAGCTAGTTGTACAACTCCATATCGCCGGATGTCTGCGCTCCTAGGGCAGTAGCGTACTCCATCTGGTCCTCCATCCATGATCAGTTTCATGATAACAAACTGCATCGCACCGTCTACCTTGAGGCAGAGTTCCGGAGTTTGGTTCAAGGCGACATGGACATCACCGCCTACACCGGCCAGCTCAAGCAACTGCCCGACGCTTTGCGCGACGTCGGACAGCCTGTTCGTGTGACCAACCAGGTGCTCAACATGCTTTGTGGCCTCAACGCCAAGTACCGCCACGCCGTGCTCGTCATCACCACCAAGAACCCACCTCATTCCTTCCTTTTGGCCCGCACCTACCTACTGCTGGAAGAGCAGTACGATCGGGAGCATGCCAAGGCGGCTTAGCACTAGGCCCTCCTCGCCACCGACAACAATCGATCTGCCACTACCTCAGCTACCGATGGCGAATCCAGCTCTACACTAAGTCCACACCGCCGGCTTCTGCAACTGCTCCACACCTCAACTCCAACCGCACCTCCAAGAAGAAGGGTCATGGGTGCGGGTCTAGTCCACCAGGCAGTTCTAGCTCCGGGTTTCCACCTCACCCCTCGAGCTCCGCCTGGGTTTCGGGGATGAACCCGTGGACAGGCATGGTGCAAGCTTGGCCCATGCCCTTCCGTGTTCTGGGTGCTGGCGTCCTCGGTCCTTGCCTTGGTGCACCCTAGCTGCAAGCGTACCTCGCCGACATTCCTCCTCAGCTTCTAGTTTAGGCTCCTCCGCCACCACAATCTCCCACCGACGTCTGGAATCACCAGGCACTGCTTGCTGCCTTGGCCACCTCTGGCGTCCCCCCATCCAAACCCCAAGACATCGAGTGGTTCATGGATACCGGTGTTGTCTCACATGGCCGCCAACGCCGATAACTTCTCCTCTTCCCTACCCCTCACACGTTGTTCTCCAATCACTGTTGGAAATGGTGCCACCATGCCCGTGACTCACATGGCTTCCACTACCATCGCCACCACTCATTCCCCTCTTCAATTGCACAACATTCTTGTGTCACCCTCCTTAATTAAGAACCTCATTTCCATTCGTTCTCTCACTAGTGATAATAATGTTACAGTTGAGTTTGACCCTTTCAGTTTTTCAATTAAGGATATTCCTTCGATGTAACAGCACCGACTTGTACCCGTTGGCATCCTTGTCGCTAGAGGCTCTTGTTGCTGCTGCTCCTTCCGTGGATCTATGGCACCTTCGTCTGGAACATCCGGGACGTCATTCCCTCCGCCAGACCTTACATCATCTAGACTATAGCTGTTCCAAGTCATCGTCGCATGCTTGTCAGTTAGGAAAGCATGTACGTCTTCCTTTTTCATCTTCAGACTCTGGTAGCTATGTTCCTTTTCAAGTCATTCATGCTGATGTATGGACCTCGCCTGCTGCTAGCTGCTCTGGATTTCAATTTTATCTTGTTTTAATTGTCGATCTTACACATTACGTTTGGACATTCCCACTGCACCACAAATATAATGTTCTGGCCTATTTACTGTCTTTTCATTCCTATGTCCAAACTTGATTCCAGTTGTCGCTTATTGCGTTCCACTCAGACAACGGCAAAGAGTTCGATAACCATGCCTTTCGCACTCATCTTGCTGCCCCTGGCATTTCTTTTTGCCTCTCCTATCCATACACCTCTGCACAAAATGGAATGGCAGAGCGCATTATTCGTACGCTTAATGACTGTGTTCGTAGCATTCTGCTGCACGCCGGCATGCCACCGCGCTTCAAGGTTGAGGCCCTGGCCACGGCCACTCACTTGCTAAACCGCCGACCATGCCAGGCCAGTGGCACACTCATGCCATACCAACTCCTGCTTGGTGCCCCTCCTGCATACGATCATTTGCGGGTGTTTGGTTGCCTCTATTTCCCCAATCAAAGTGCCATCGCGCCACATAAACTTAGTCCGCACTCTACAACCTGCGTCTTTCTCGGCTATCCCACCGATCATCGTGGGTATAGGTGCTTTGATCTCTCCACACGATGGGTGATCACCTCTCGCCATGTCACTTTTTACGAGCACCAATTTCCTTTCTGCTCAGACAGTGTTGTTGTCGCCTCCCTTCGCGCTACTGTTCATCAACCGACAATAGATGATATCATTGTTCTTCAGAGCGACCCCAACCTCCACAACCTGCTTCTCCACCTCCTCACCAGCATGGTTCCAACTCTAATTCATAGTCCCATGCCAGCCCTCCTCTCTCATCTCCAGCGCTCGCCAGTGGCTCACCGAGCGTGCTCGCTAATGGCTCGCCATCGACTACCGGTGCTGCCTCACCAGCACTTGCTGTCTCGGCGGCTCATCCTATGGTCACGTGTTCCTGTGCGAGCATCTTCAAACCCAATCCTCGCTACGCCCTCACAACGTAGGCCTCTGCCGCCTCATCACTAAATGATCAGATCTCTCCCTTTCCATCCTCGGTGCACGCTGTGCTCTGAAATCCCAATTGGCATGCTGCCATGGAGCAAGAGTTTCGCGCCCTTCAGGACAACCTCACTTGGTGCCTTGTTGATCGCCCACCCGACGCACACATCATCTCTGGGAAGTGGGTTTTCAAACACAAACTCCACCCCGATGGCTCCTTGGACCGGTACAAAGCCCACTAGGTTGTCCGAGGTTTCACCCAGCGTGCCGGCGTCAATTTCGGGGAAACTTTCACGCCAGTCGTCAAGCTGGCCACAATACACACTGTTCTGACCATCGCTGCTTCTCGCCATTGGCTAACAGGACAGCTTGATGTATCAAACGTGTTCCTGCATGGCCATCTGCAAGAACACGTTCTCTATCAACAGCCCACGGGTTTTCTTGATCCTTCTCGACAAGTTGATCTACGGTATCAAATGTTGGCCCACAGGATCACCGGCTCAAGTGAGTGAACCACTCACCAGTCTTGCCGAGCACCCACTAGCCGTGCCGACCACAAACAAGCGTTGTCCGTCCCCACGCACTATGGCTAGAGCTAGAAGAAGAAGGGAGAACAGAGCACACACACATAGTACAAGACACCAGTGTTGGCCGGAGCCCTGTATGGGAGATGGCAAATCTAAACTCTCTTTACTAAGTTGTCGTGGTAGTCTATTTATACAACTCTATCTATCTAGTCCCAATACAAAGGCACATGCTGTCAGAATAACTAGATAGATAATATATGTATCTGACTCTGCGCTAGCCTCTCAGACGTGGCTACAAGAAGTCACAGCAGGTGAGCCATGCGGCGCCTTTGACTGCACGACTCTGATATCACAAGAGGGGGGCCTTTTTCGACGTCGCCTTCCCTTGCTGTGTTCACACAAGGAAAGCAGTAGTTTATTCTAACAATTCTTCCCCTAAACCTACTGCTATCCCTTGTACCCCCTCCATGCCGATCATCTCCTTTAGCTCCATGAGTCAAAGACGTCTGAGCAGCTTGGTGAGAACATCCACGAGTTGCCGACCAGTTTCGACGAACTCAATGACGATCTGCCCTCCATCGACACGGTCCCTGAGGAAGTGGAACTTCACGTCGATGTGTTTACTCCGGTCGTGTAGAACCAGATTCTTCGCGAGGGCAATGGCGGGCTGGTTGTCCACCATCAGTGCTGGTGGGTGAGCTTCCACGCCGGTTAGCTCGCCTAGCAGCCGGCGTAGCCACACAACTTGGCACGCCGCTATGGCTGCCACTACGTACTCTGCCTCGCATGTAGATAGCATCACCACCTTCTGTTTCAGCGACTGCCATGAAATTGGAGCTGACCCAAGGAATACGAGCATGCCAGAGGTGCTCCGTCATCCATCGATGTCCCCCGCCATGTCTGCATCGCTGAACACAATGAGTTGTAGCCTACTCCCGCCGGTCTTTGGGAAGATGATCCCCTGATCCATCGTCCCTTTGACGTAGCGCAGTAGCCGCTTCACCGTAGCCCAGTGATCCTCTCTGGGATCCTCCATGAAGCGACTGACATAGCCCACGATGAACGCAATGTCCGGCCTCATGTGGACTAGGTAGCGTAGACCACCAACGATGCTCCGGTAGAGTGTTGCATCCACCTTTGCCACAGTGCTGGCCTTCGTCAGCTTCAGCTGCTCCTCCATCGGAGTCACGCATGGCTTGCACTCAGCCATGCCGCTCTGCTCCAATAGCTTGGAGGCATACGCGCTCTGACCGAGCGTGAGTTCCTCCTTCCCCTATCTCACCTCGATGCCGAGGTAATAGGAGAGTGCGCCGGGATTGCTCATTCAAAACGAGCCACCATCTCACGCTTGAAGCCGTTGATGTCCTCCGTGCGTGCCGGTGATGATTAAGTCATCCACATACACACCGACGATGAGCTCCTCCTTCCCCCATCGCCGCGTGTAGAGCATGTGCTCAGTTGTGCACCGTTGAAACCCAAGCTCACCCAGCGTGGCGTCAAGCTTGGCGTTCCATGCTCGTGGGGCCTGCCGCAACCCGTAGAGCACCTTGTGCAGTCGGAGCACCCTGTGCTCCTCTCCCCTGATGGCGAAACCTGGAGGTTGCCTGACGAAGACCATCTCCGCTAGCTCGCCATTGAGGAAGGCTGATTAAACGCCCAAGTGATGGATGCACCAGTCCTTTGCTGCTGCCAAGTCTAGTAGCAAACGGACCGACTCCATACGCGCTACTGGTGCAAAGACTTGGAGTGATGAGGTCTATGCCCTCACGCTGTACAAACCCTCGGGCGATGAGGTGCGCCTTGTGCTTGACAACGGCGCCGAGCTCGTCCCGCTTGACCTTGTACACCCACTTCAGGGCTGATCGGATGGCATCCTAGAGGTGGACCGATAAGCTGCCATGTCTTGTTTTCCTCGATCGCCTTCATCTCCTCCAGCATCGCTTATCACCAATTTCCATCGCGCTTGGCTAGCGCAAACATGGGTGGTTCCTATGCACTGACGAGCAGCAGCTCTACATCATTGAGCAGCCGACCAACCAGTCCTAAGGGTTCTGTGCCATCGATGATGTCGTCCAGCCTGTGGAACCGCACCTCCTCACCTTCGTAGAAGGCATCCACAAACTCAGTGATGTCACTTGGAGGTGAGACAAACTCGATCGGCATTGATGGAGTTCCCTGTTCTGCCGGAGTGCTTGGTACAGTACCTGAAGTGCTCGGCACCCCAGGTTTAGTGCTCGGCACTACTTCTGGACTTCTTGTCATATCTCCTGCAGTGTTCGGCCACACTGTAGGAGTGCTCAGCCTCAGTCTTGGAGTGGTCGGCACCACTACAAGACGTCTTGGCTCCGCCACGGGAGTACTCAGCACCCGTCCTGGAGTGGTCGCCACCACTACAGAACTTCCCAGCACCACTCCTGGCGTGCTCGACACTCCTCCCTAAGTGCTTGGCATCCCTC